GAGGGAAAGCTTGTCTGTTCTGAATTTTGTTGGCTGGGCGACAGCGAAGCCCGTTACTCCAGTGGGGTTTAAAACCTTTACCATCTGTGCTCTACAAATCGAAGAGTGTACATAGTATGCTCTAACTGGAGCATGCCTGCAAGCACGCTTTAGCTAGCGCATGCCTGCCAAGCATGCACTAACTAGTGCATACCAGAGCCGTACATTGGAAGAGAAGAGAAGCGAAAGGCTTGACTGGCGCTTCTCATACTTGGCGGAAGTGCCGGTCGGCCCATAGCAAACATGGCGGCCGACTGCGGTCTTCTGCCAGTCTTCTGCCTGGAGTGTCTTGTGTCTTGGTTGTGATTGTTCGATTTACGTTTAGGGTCCAAGCAAAAAACATCAGAGATAGAAATTCATATTTCTCCAAAAATATTTTTACTCAAATTGTAATTTTTTTTTGTTTTTTCTTCTTTGCATTTGAGAGAGTGTAGAAGTTGGAAATTAAACTTTCTTTAAACTTTAAACTTTCTTACTTGAGTAAGAAGTCTCAATTTACGGGTAAAAGTTTCTTTCTATTGCATAATTTCATACCCCAAAGGAGGGGCCTCACTTCCTTTTAGTTTTTGAGTTATAGAGGTTTACGTCAACATTCAGTCGTTTCTCCCAAATTCACCTCACAACAAAGAAAAAGGTTCCCAGCCTTAGATATTAGCAAATTGATCTCTTTCAATACAGCAAAAAGACCCTGGCTTTTTTGAAATATCTCTCTTGTTTCTAGATAAAAAAAAGTAAGGTCCATTGTAAAATAATAAAAGTGATTATTAATTTTTTTTTAAATACTTGTAGTCTTAATTTATGGGTGATAAAGTTCCTTTCTATTTCATAAACTCAAACCCCAAAGGACGGGCCCAAATTCTATTTAGTTTCTGAGCTATGGATGTTTACGCTAACTTTTAGTCGTTTGTCCCAAATTCTCCTCATGACAAAGTAAAACTTTCAACCAAAAATTCAAATAGGCCTAGTTACTGGGCTAAAATTTCCAAATGTGGCTACACTATCTTTTTATGTTTGAAGGTTTTTTTAAATAGCCAGAAACTGAAACTGGGCACCTTTTCCTTTTTCGTGAGGAAAGTTTGGGGGAAACGGCGAAAAGTTTACGTGAACCTCCATAACTCAGAAAATAATGGAACATGGAGTTTCCCAAATTGAGGAATAGATTCATCATACAGTGATTGAATTTTTAAACCCCAAAAAGAACTTTCTGTTGCAAATATTTCTAGGCCATCAAAATTTTTCTGTACAATCTCCTCAAAGAATTGAAAATAGTAATAATTACACTGCGAAATTGAGATTAACTTGGAATTATTTTAGCTGCCCAAAGCACATACATAATCTACGTGCTTAGGTCAGCAGAGCAGCAGCCGCTGCTCCTGCCGCTCCTGTGTACGTGAGCTCTACGGCTAACCTCTACAAGTCAAACTTAATCCGTTTCGATTTCAGCAATCCTTCAACGGATTTCAAATCCGAGGACAGATTTGGAATCTACATAAAATTTTACATGGCATAGGAGGTGTCTTTATTCGATAACCTCAAAGATGAAATTATAATCCAAGCGGGAAATGAATGTTGCCGAAAACTGTCATTTCGCCGTCGCATCTTTCATGAAGGTGCATTTCTTTGCGGATTGTCTTTTTCAACATCCGCGTATCGCATCCCAGTACAAGGAAACTTTGACTCGCTTACACTATACGTGTCAGAGCAACCAAAATACCCGATAAAAAATAAAATATGAACTGCAGGCTGGATTTTCGTGCTCCGCCGCAAGTTTTCTCGACAAACTGTACGAAATGACGGAAGTTTTGGGCAAAATGAATGTGACAGGGCAATTCCTTGGGTCTTAATCCATTGTTTAAAAATCATGGCATCTCATAACATTCAATTTTTAAGTGATTTCTGAGCAATAAAAGACGCGGCGGCAGACCGTCTCCGCCCGCCGTCCGGCCGGCTGGACAGTGGCGTGGCGTAGCGCGGCGCGTCGAGCTTGGCTTCAGCCGCGCCATAGAAGTTTCCACGCCCTGGCCACATTCAAACATCGCGATTTTGGCGCGCTTCCGGCCAAAGCAAACATGGCCGAAACGCCGCAGCCAATGGGAGGCACGAACAGGCCTTTCGCTTCTCTCCCACTCTGGTGCATACATGCCATGTACACGCTTCCTGATGCAGAAAACTCCCTATCCCTTATGCAGTAAATGTATGCTTCAGTTAGCGTGTACATGGCATGTATGCACTAGTTAGTGCATGCCTGGCAGGCATGCGCCAGCTAGAGCGTGCATGCAGGCATGCTCCAGATAGAGCGTACCATGTACACTCTAATTTGTAGAGTGCGTGCGTGTTTGAGTGTGTGCACTACCCGTCCTAAACAGCTAGGCCGATCCGGCAGAGATTTCGCAGGCTCATTATGCATGTCCTTGGCACGCCATACATCAAATTTAAGCCATCTGTCTCAAACCATGTGGTAATTCGAGCCAAAGAATTTTGACAGTCCCCACCGGTCTTCGCCACGGCTGCACGTCTTGTTCGAGGGCAATCCTTCTCATTGTGGAAACGAGGACTGCGTGCGCTGCAAGGAGACCAGCTGCTGCCCCTCGCTCAACTCAAGCACGCGCAAGTAGAGACGATCGTCAAGAAGCGCACCTCGATGTCAGCAATTGAATCAAACCGGCGCCTGCGTGTACCTGCTACATCCGATTGCAAATCTTAAGGGGGGACCCTGGTGAAAAAAACGCCAAAATTCCAAAAAAAAGAATTTTCAAAGTTCATAGATAAAAATGTGCATAAAGGGTTTTAAATTCAACAGGTGTTCAACTTTTAAGCTAAGTGGGTAGTTTTTTATCATTTGGAAGGAAATAACATTGAGATCAGTTGTCGTTGGCTTCTACGCTCAACTTCACAGCTTTGCTCAGACGACAAAAAAATTTGTCGTAGAAAGACTTCCTGCGTTCCTGGTTGACACCTACATGAGTCGTCTTGCATGGACTCTATTCATTGATGACTTGTCGACAAATTTTAGTGACGGAATCTTGATATCAGCCCTACTTTTTTTAAAACACACCTAAAAGTTTGAAAAAAGGGAAAAAAATCACTTTTTTATTAATGTTAAAATTTGAAAACTCATATTTCAGGACAGAAGTTAAATTTGAAAATTCCGTCACTAAAATCTCTTCAATACATCTTTAGGATAACCCAAAAAAATTTTCAAGACTTTCCGTCCCAATGAAAGACGCAGGAAGATTTTTCCCCAACGCTCCAAAAAACACTAAAAAGCCACTTTTCTCAGAGACCGTTCTACATTTTGGGTTGAATTTTGTTTTGAGAACTCACCATAATGAACCTCATAATTAAGCAAAGTTTCAACTTTCTGGGATTATTTTGAAGCCTACTTGAAAGTTTCACCAGGGTCCCCCCTTAAGATGAAGGAAAAAAGTTACTGTCGAATGGGCTCTGTTTCGCTTGCGGTAGATACATACGACGGAATTTTTCTTCATAATACGAATCTTTTAAAGCAGGGAACAAAGACAACAGACAGATACGGTTCGACTATGCCTTTTCCGTTAAACCTGCTTGTTTGTATCCAAATAACTGAGTTTGAGAGGGTTCAGATCATCAATACACCTTCAAGAATTTCAAACATGAATCAAGTTTAATGCATCCAAAACAATGTTCCAATATAAAAGAATTCGAAGCAAAACACTGAGCTTCAAGATATTCATCACGCCCATTTCAAAGTAACTTAATTTTTCCCCTCGTCCAAACAATGTCGAAACAGAAGCTCGACCTTCACCAACGGTTTGCATTCTCGAGAAGCTTTTCTCGGATAGCACAATCGACATCAATATCAACCTTCAATTTAGGAACTAAGGCATTTTTCCAAGAAGTCACAAGCAAATTTTGACGAACATGTTTGTAGGGAATTGTCAAAACCTTGAATCAGTGAAATTGCACGGAACGATTGAGCGTCCGCAATAGGACCAAATAGGCTTGGACTCAATTGTAAACAGTGAGAATTTGTCAACTAGCATGAACATAGAGGGGCCGCAGGAATTCAGATCACAATGGCTATAGCGCAGTTCCAATCTTCTTTCAAACACTGCCAATCCAAGTGTGGACCAAGTCCACGCTTCCTTGCGTCGACCATTTTCGGTCCACGCTTCCTTGCGTGGACCAGCCTGGTCCACGCTTCTTTGCGTGGACCACAGTTTGGTCCACGCTTCTTTGCGTGGACCACAGTTTGGTCCACGCTTCTTTGCGTGGACCACGGTTTGGTCCACACTTCCTTGACTGACACGGACACAGACTGTGCGGAAAACTGCCACGGACCAGACTGTGAAGCGTGGACCAAACCGTGGTCCACGCGAGGAAGTGTGGACCAAACTGTGGTCCACGCAAGGAAACGTGGACCAAACTGGTCGACGCAAGGAAGCGTGGACCAGAAATGGTCGACGCAAGGAAGCGTGGACTTGGTCCACACTTGGATTGGCAGTGAACAGAAATAAAATGGCACAAACGATGTGCCGTGTACAATGCCATAAAAATCAAGGTCGTCGAAAATTATTCACTCACGATGCGTGTCCCCGCTGTGTGTCAGAAGGTGCTTTCGAAGATGTCCACTTTGCACAAACTTCTTCTTGCAAACTGTGCACTCGTAAGGCTTCTCCCCGGTGTGGATCCGAAGGTGCGTTCTGAGTTCTCCACTTACAGCGAACTTCGTCTGACAAACTGTGCACTCGAAAGGCTTCTCTCCGGTGTGGGTGCGAAGGTGCCTTCTGAGATCTCCACTTACAGCGAACTTCTTCTGACAAACTGTGCACTCGAAAGGCTTCTCTCCGGTGTGGGTGCGAAGGTGCCTTCTGAGAGCTCCACTTACAGCGAACTTCGTCTGACAAACTGTGCACTCGTAAGGCTTCTCCCCGGTGTGGGTGCGAAGGTGGTTTCGGAGATGTCCACTTTGATTGAACTTCTGCCTGCAAACTGCGCACTCGAAAGGCTTCTCCCCGGTGTGGGTGCGAAGGTGGTTTCGGAGATGTCCACTTTGATTGAACTTCTGCTTGCAAACTGGGCACTCGAAAGGCTTCTCCCCGGTGTGGGTCCGAAGGTGCTTTCTGAGATCTCCACTTACAGCGAACTTCGTCTGACAAACTGTGCACTCGAAAGGCTTCTCTCCGGTGTGGGTCCGAAGGTGCGTTTCTAGTTTACTTCTAAAGGCGAACTGCTTCTCGCACACCGGACACTCCAGACGCTTCTCTCCATTGCAGGCACCGCGTGGAGCACGCACGGACGCTGACGATCCAGCCGTGCGGTGACGGGGCTCACGCTCGCGGGACATTCTGAAACACAGTATAAACCTATAGTTGGTCCAGCGAATGTTGCTACACTGGCACTCGAAGACTTGTGGGATAATGCCATTGACTCTTTGTTGGGGGTGGTGATGACCTGGGCCACGGTGCGTTAGTAGGGTCGAAGGGACAGCGTACGGGGCATGTATGCACTAGTAAGTGCATGCTAGGCAGGCATGCGCTACCTAAAGGGTGCTTGCAGGCATGCTCCAGAGAGCATACAGTGTATGCTTTTGGATTTGTAGAGTACCGAACGGTATTGTGTACATGGCGGATACACAAACAACCATACAGAAACATGCCGATCCCTAAGCTCATAGGGCCGGTCCCTATGGCAGAGGGCTGAGCCCCTTCCCAAGGGGCCAAGCCCTTTCTTGGATAGGGCTTGGCCCCTTCGGAAAGGGACCGTCCCTTTAAAATCATAGCGATTCTTTCCCTTGGGTAACTTGTGGAAGCATTTTAGTTTGTAATTTAAGCGCTTAAGGGGGGACCCTGGTGAAAAAATCGCCAAAATTCCAAAAAATAGAATTTTCAAAGTTCATAGATAAAAATGTGCATAGAAGGTTTCAAATTCAACAGGTGTTCAACTTTTAAGCTAAGTGGGTAGTTTCTTTATCATTTGGAAGGAAATAACATTGAGATCAGTTGTCGTTGGCTTCTACGCTCAACTTCACAGCTTTGCTCAGACGACAAAAAAATTTGTCGTAGAAAGACTTCCTGCGTTCCTGGTTGACACCTACATGAGTCGTCTTGCATGGACTCTATTCATTGATGACTTGTCGACAAATTTTAGTGACGGAATCTTGATATCAGCCCTACTTTTTTTAAAACACACCTAAAAGTTTGAAAAAAGGGAAAAAAATCACTTTTTTATTAATGTTAAAATTTGAAAACTCATATTTCAGGACAGAAGTTAAATTTGAAAATTCCGTCACTAAAATCTCTTCAATACATCTTTAGGATAACCCAAAAAAATTTTCAAGACTTTCCGTCCCAATGAAAGACGCAGGAAGATTTTTCCCCAACGCTCCAAAAAACACTAAAAAGCCACTTTTCTCAGAGACCGTTCTACATTTTGGGTTGAATTTTGTTTTGAGAACTCACCATAATGAACCTCATAATTAAGCAAAGTTTCAACTTTCTGGGATTATTTTGAAGCCTACTTGAAAGTTTCACCAGGGTCCCCCCTTAAGTGGTAACATCACGGTGAAAATGGTTCCTGGTTTTCCCAGGAACTCCCTGGAAATCACCTGTCTCTACCATAGGCTTCCTGGGAAAACCAGGTACCGTTTTTACCGTGATGTCGATTAATATGTCCGTAACAAGGTTCATAAAAATGTATATATAAAGTCTCCAGAAAATGAAACAAAACGACGCGTCTTAATAGAATAATCCTAACTGCCTGAGTGGATCCAAATCAAATCTGTCAGTGCAGTGCCATCACTGCACTAAACTCAGTGTACGAGGCGACTGCTTCGAAACCGCGAAGAAAATGGACAACGTTAGCCTCGTATTTCAAAGCAATACTTGGGCTTTCCGGAAGTCGGGTCGCGTCGCCAATTCAGAAAACGAGCAGACTTGCCGAGGAAGCCACCGCTCGCATCTCAGGCGTGCACAAGACTACGGGATGACGGGAAATTTAGGAGGGATTGCACGTGGAATTTTGTAAAATTGGTTCAAAAACATTAAAAAATGGCCCAATAACTTTGAAAAATGACTTAAAAACGTGAGAAAATGACAGAATTTTGTCAAGGATTACGTGATTACGACATAGATTACCAGCCACTTTGAACACAGGATTACGGGGGTGGTGGCCCCCTCGAGACTTGCGGTGAATTTACATACGTCGAGGGACGGAGGTTGGTGCGGCGAAATAGTACTTACATGCAGAAGACTCGGAGCACGTCGCCGTGTAGACACCCTTGTCGACAAACGTGCCTTTCCAGAAGATTCACCGATCCGACGCCTTGGTTTGGACTTCCCCCTCCCTTCTGTCAGGACGACTGCGACTGCAAAGGTGGTGCAAGTCTTGGAAAGAGAAACAACAACGTTTGAATAGGGTATTACCCTGAGTCCTGGACCGGAAGTAAGATGAACAAAGGCAAGCCCTAAACTGGCTCACTAATAGTCCTCTTACTTCCGGTCCAGGGCACACGGAAATGCCCTTTTAAACACTCAAAATGTCTTACGATGAAATTTGACCTTAAAGTGTCGGCGCAAGCAAAATACAAAGCAATATAACTTCGTAAATACGAAGCAATATACCTTCGTAAATACGAATGTTTTGACCTTTCCCAATGTAAGATACAAAGAAAAACCTGCGTAATACGAAGGAAAGCCACCTTCGTATTATGCTTGCGCCATTTCCTTCGTAATAAAGGAAATTTATTCGTGAGACATATTGAGTCTAGGATTGTGCTGCGTTCTCACCCGCACGATGCGGTACAACTTGGGCAAGCTGTCTGCGCCAGGCAGTTCAGTCAAAATTGAAAGAGGTCCGTGGGCGCGAGGGTGAGAGGGAAGTACAGATGATGTAAATGTGAATACAGGCGCTCCCACCGCCCGTCACTGTTACCAGTAAAGGATTACCCTCTGTCTTCAGGCACGAACAGTTTAACACTAGACGGCGTGCGTAACAAGCTCGCCCTCACTCCCTCATCTAAATGCATTAATGCATGCTTCACTTCAAGCTTGTCGTATCCATAAGTAGCTTTAAATAGTTACACTGGTTTTACCTGTGTTGCCTGCGGAGGCGCGGTGTCCTTGGCTTTAGGATCCTCTTCCTTTCGTTTCGGATTTAACTTCCACCAGAACGTCACCTGAAAAGACAAAGAAGTTTCTCGAACCGGAAACAGTGCTCTAAAGCCGCCAATTGTCAATTTTACATGACGCGTTTCCGTCATTCTTTGGAAGTAAATAATGATTGCACTCAAAATGTCTTACGATGAAATTTGACCTATGTTACTCGTATGTTACAGTGAATTCCTTCGTAATACGAATCTTTTTAGCTTTTTCATTGAGGATACAAAGAAAAACCTTCGTAATACGAAGAAAAACCACCTTCGAATTATGCTCCCGCCATTTACTTCATATAGGGGTAGGTTGGGGAAGAAAAGTACAAAACGCGTACTTTGCACTGTACAGAAGTTTCAAATGAGGATTCAACTATTCTGCTCTCGTGAACTTGTAATCCAATGCCTTCTTAATGAAATGGATCACTGTTCATTGATTATAGTTCCCTACATTACGTGCAACATGCCAAAATGTATGTGATTTCGGAACTCCTCGAAAAGGGTAAGAAAAGTACACCACCGGGAAAGAAAAGTACAACAAGGGGAAACTACTTCGAAAAAATGTGTACCCCTAATGCAAATTCAAAAAAAATTCAACAAAATTCAAAAAATTCAGTGAAATTCATAAAATTAAAAAATTCACCAAAATTCTTTGAAATTCATCGAAATTTTTAAAAATTCACTGAAATTCATAAAATTCATTGTAGTGCAAAAATTCAAAAAGTGTACAAAATTCATCAAACACTGTTAAAAAAAAGTCGAAATTTTCAGACTTTTTAGGATGAAGTCAATTTTGAAACCCAGTGGTCTGAATTTTCAGACCCCCGGACACTCTGAATTTTTGGACCACCTGTCGTCTGAATTTTCAGACTAGCAAGTACTTTGAATTTTACGACAACCAGGTAGTCTGAATTTTCGGACTAATGGCAGTCTGAATTTTTCACCTCGCGGGTTTGAATTCTAAGCCGCCCAGGCAATAAAATTACCACTTTTGTCAGGATGTATATTATGTTTTGGAGATGCATGTTTTCAATTGCTGAGAAACATGGAATGCATGCACTAAATAGAGCAGTTGTAAAACAGCTCTTATTGTTAAATGTAGCACCCAAAGTTGCGCAAAACTTTAACTAGATATGATATTTTGCTGAGAGAGCTTCCCAAAACAAGACCGCTTAAAAAACTAGTCCTCGAATGTAAGACCCCAGAAGATGCAGCTGTAAACACTGGAAAGCAGCATGTTGGATCCAGATGCACACTTTGTGGAAACTTTTTCGGCACGATGAAAATACTTTGGGGACGAGGATGAAAGAGGAGTGACAAATTTCCAAAACGCCACCCACTCGCTCATCACCCGTCCCTTTAGTTTGGAAGACGCAATATCAGTATAAGGCTACGCCACTTTCACAGCCTGCTTGCCGCGGATTTCGGATGCTTCAGAGACTGCACGCACCCATAAGCAATTTTGGAGCACGGAAAGGCGAAGGCTAAACGGCACTGTACACACTGTGCTGAGCACCGATGTAACACATAAAACGTTGCTTCACGACGGAGCGTCACAAGAAAGATGACACGCGACGCGGACTTGTATTCGGATGCGATGTGCACTGCTCTGGAGACAAGCTAAAACTGACGCATTCTGTCCAGAAATCCCGAGTGGCCGAGGGATTAAGGGCCCCCTCCTCTCCTCCCGCCCCGCGCAGGTAGGCTTCGGCCGGCACGCAGGTCCGCGGTGATTTTCCGAACGCCCCGGCTCGGCTCGGTGTGCCTGGCTCGGCTGGCCGCCGCCGGAGCGGCTCGGCTCGGCTCGGGTGACCCGGGCTTCGGTCCAGGCCGGAACCAGGGCAAACATGTCGCATCCTGCAGCTACCAGCGGAGTGCAGGCTGATTTTAGACTCAACACTAGACGGCCGTTCGCTTAGCTGAGCAAAAGTCTATTTACTACTGCTCTAGCAATTCAGGGTCCATAGCACCTGAAACGCAGTCATGCCTTTTATCAGAAAACAAAGCCTCAATTTCAGACTGCGGAGGATGAAAATTCAGACCTTCTACTACAAATGATTGTTTTAAGACCCCGACGCCGAAAATTTATACCGCGCCATCCAAATATTCAGACTCGTGAGTCCGAAACTCATTTTTCAGACCACAAGGTGTAAAATTAAGACCAACTGTCTGAAAATTCTGACTCAAGTCTGAATTTCAGATTCAGACCACTAGGTCTGAAAAAATTGGTCTGAATTTTCAGACTTTTTTTAACAGTGTGAGCATGGCTACCCGCTATCGGTGTGTTGGCGCTACTACTCTGACTCTTACCGACGCACAGGTGTTCTAGTATTTCCCTAAATTTTACAATTTTTAAAACTACACAAGCGTCTTTTGCGCCTCTATACGGTCCAAAATTTTGTTTGAGTTGGAACTTGTGGGTCAATTTTGAAGGCACAGCGGCCGAAGGAGGCTCGGTGTCAATGAATGGCGTCCCGTGGTGCAGGCAGGCCACCGCCGCCTCCGCCGCCGGTCCCTTCCCCCTCCCCCAGCCGGGCTCCTCGAGCTTGCCGGGGACATCTATTAACAGTGTCATTTCTTTGGGGGATGGTCCTCTGTTCTTCACAGAAAACCTTCTCGATCCTTCTGGAATGTGTTTCGGACGGCCCCCGGCCGCTCAGAGAGCGCACGTGAGTGCGTGTAAGCAACGCGACGGAAACACGCCGATACATTCACACATAGGGATGAACAAACGAATGTTTTTCTTGATCGCATTTGACACCCTCTCCAAGTCTCACGCAGGAAAGACGGACAGACGTGGGCGGTGGGGCGCCGAGTATAGCAGAGCATCCAAGCGCCTGCATTCACGCGTCCGGCCGAACGGGTCGGTTGAAACAGAGGGATCTGACACACTCGATGGACCAACCCGTACTGCGCGATGAAGGCACAGACTCCCGCGGACGTTGCACCCGACTTCTTGGATGCTTCCTAGATCAGCGGTTCTCAACCTTTCTCGGCTCGCGACCCCAAATTTGAAGCCAAAAATTTCAGCGACCCCCAGGAAAAATTTCGCGACCCCACGGGACCCCTCCTTTAACATGCCACGGCGTCTGATCCGAGGCGGGCAGTTTGCTCCCTCAACGGGCAACTGGTCTTTGGACCTTCCTCTAGCATGCCTGTGTTACGGAGTGCAATTATCAGTCTTAGTTTGGGAGCAGTATTGTCTCAAAGTTGGCCAAAACGCTCAGAAATGTCTATGAAAAATCGTGTTTTGGGCTGATTTTAAGCAGCCACAGCGTCTGATCCGAGGCGGGCATTTTGCTCCCTCAACGGGCAATTGGTCTTTGGACCTTCCTTTAGCATGCATTTGTTACGGAGTGCGATTATCAGTCTTAGTTTGGGAGCAGTATTGTCTCAGAGTTGACCAAAATAGTCACAACGATTTTTCAAAGACACTTGCGACCGTTTTGATTTTGATTTTCATAGTTATTTTTAATGTGTTTTTCAAACGTGCAGTTTGATTCTAAATATTATATGTCGAACTGGGCTAAATTTATTTTTTGTCAGCGGGATGACCAATCTTTCTAAAACCACTAACGTGATGGTTCAGTGTAGTTTCAGTTCGGAGATATAACGGGTGTACTTTTCTTACCCGAGCCTCGAGTGTACTTTTCTTACCCAACCTACCCCTAATGAGAAATTTCTTCGTAAGACGTTCAGAGTGAGGTTTCTTTACTTTGGTAGTGGTCTTCAACCTAGTTAACCACAGCTGTGGGAACTGCCTCCGTTGCCTGCAATTCACTATCATTTTCATTCAGCTTTGTACCCGAAGTGTTCGGATTGAATGAAACTTTCCTGCATTGCGTTCATTACCTGACTCGAAACAGCAAGGGGGACTCTGACTCTGCCCTGGCGTAACGTTGCGCATACGCTTGTCACCAGAGCAGTCAAGCTGCCGTCTTGTGAGCAACAAGAATCTCAAAATCGCCCGTAACCTGACCTTTCAAAACTGTTCGATTGTTTCCATTGAATGCATGCGGGATCGTCAGACGTCAGAAAGCAATAGGGTACCACGGAGAAGAGCTGGAACGGGGGTTGAGAAGAAATCAAAAAGAACAAAGAGCGCGAAATTTGTAAGAATGAGCGTCTGCGTCGCCGATCTGCCGCTTCCGCAGAGTTGTGTTCTCTTGGAAGTCCGGCGTTTGTTAGTCTTGATTTCTTCTCTACTTCCACTTCCGGTCCAGCTCTTCTCCGAAGTACCTTCTTTAGCCTGTTAAGAAGATTTTTCAAGAGCGGGTTTAAACTTCCCCTTTTATACTGGACTCGCTCCCTTTTTCCCAAGCCTCATAACTTCCGTTTTTTTTGTTCCCCTTAATATTCCGTCAGTGACGACTGGACGTGGATTCTAGTTTGGAAATCAACGACCGTTCTATTAGACGAAAACTTGTCTCTTCTGCAGTTCGATGGCTGAGCGATAGCTAAGCCCGTTACTCCAGTGGGGTTAAAAAACTTTTTCTGTCTGTGCGTGCGTGTTTGTGTGCACTACTCGTCCTGAGCAGCTAGGCCGATCTGGCAGAGATTTCGCAGGCTCATTATGCATGTCCTTGGCACGTCAGACATCTTTCTCGAACCATGTGGAAATTTCGAGCCAAAAAATTTTGACAGTCCCCACCGGTCTTCGCCGCGGCTGCACGTCTTGTTCGAGGGCAATCCTTATCATTGTGGAAACGAGGACTGCGTGCGCTGCAAGGAGACCAGCTACTGCCCTTTGCTCAACTCAAGCACGAGCGATTTTGTCTCCAAGTAGAGGCGATCGACAAGAAGCGCACCTTGATGTCAGAATCACACCGGCGCCTGCTTCATCAGATTGCAAATCTTAAGATGAAGGAAAAAAATTACGGTCGAATGGGCTCTGTTTCGCTTGCGGCAGATACATGTTGGGGGAAGCAGATGCCTGGAGCATCTTCTCCACACTCGAAATATCTTACAGTGGAATTTGGGCTGTGTTATTAGTATGTTTCAGTGGATTCGGCGCCAGCACGACGGAATTGTTCTTCATAATACGAATCTTTTAAAGCGTTTTTTATATAAAAAAAGAAATACGTTCGTAAAACGAAGAAAAACAACCTTCCTAGTATGCTTGCGCCATTTCCTTCATATTCTGGAAAATTTCTTCGTAAGACGTTTAGATTGTAGTGTCCAGGGAATAAGGACACACGAGACAGATACGGTTCGACTATGCCCTGTCCGTTAACCCTGCTTGTATCTATCGAAATAACTGAGTTTGAGAGGGTTCAGATCATCAATACACCTTCAAGAATATCAAACATGAATCAAGTTTAATGCATCCAAAACAATGTTCCAATATAAAAGAATTCGAAGCAAAACACTAAGCTTTAAGATATTCATCACGCCCGTTTCAAAGTAACTTAATTTTTCCCCTCGTCTAAACAATGTCGAAGCAGAAGCTCGACCTTCACCAACGGTTTGCATTCTCGAGAAGCTTCTCTCGGGTAGCACAATCGACATCAATATCAACCTTCAATTTAGGAACCAAGGCATTTTTCCAAAAAGTCACAAGCAAAAGGCGTCCGCAAAGGGACCAAAAAGGCTTGGACTCAAACGTAAACAGTGAGAATTTGTCAACTAGCACATAGAGGGGCCGCAGGAATAGAGATCACAATGGCTATAGCGCAGTTCCAATCTTCTTTCAAACAGGAATAAAAAAGCATGAACGATGTGCCGTATACAAGGTCGTCGAAAATTATTCACTCACGATGCGTGTCCCCGCTGTGTTTCAGAAGGTGCCTTCGAAGATGTCCCCTTTGCACAAACTTCTTCTTGCAAACTGAGCACTCGAAAGGCTTCTCCCCGGTGTGGGTCCGGAGGTGTGCTCTGAGACTTCCACTTTGATTGAACTTCTTGTTGCAAACTGTGCACTCGAAAGGTTTCTCCCCGGTGTGGGTGCGAAGGTGGTTTCGGAGAACACCACTTCGATTGAACTTCTTGTTGCAAACTGTGCACTCGAAAGCCTTCTCCCCAGTGTGGATGCGAAGATGCATTCTGAGACTTCCACTTTGAGTGAAGTTTTGCCTGCAAACAGTGCACTCGAAAGGCTTCTCCCCGGTGTGGGTCCGAAGGTGCCTCCTGAGATGTCCACTTAGACTGAACTTCTTGTTGCAAACTGTGCACTCGAAAGGCTTCTCCCCGGTGTGGATCCAAAGGTGCTTTCTGAGATTTCCACTTTCATTGAACTTCTTCTTGCAAACTGTGCACTCGAAAGGCTTCTCCTCGGTGTGGGTGCGAAGGTGCCTTCTGAGATGTCCACTTAGATTGAACTTCTTCTGGCAAACTGTGCACTCGAAAGGCTTCTCCCCGGTGTGGGCCCGAAGGTGTACTCTGAGATGTCCACTTAGAGTGAACTTCTTGTTGCAAACTATGCACTCGAAAGGCTTCTCCCCAGTGTGGGTGCGAAGGTGCCTTCTCAGACTTCCACTTTCAGTGAACTTACTTTTGCAAACTGTGCACTCGAAAGGCTTCTCCCCGGTGTGGGTCCGAAGGTGCGTTTCTAGTTGCCTTCTGAAGGCGAACTGCTTGTCGCACACTGGACACTCCAGACGCTTCTCACCATTGCAGACACCGCGTGGAGCACGCACGGACGCTGACGATCCAGCTGTGCGGTGACGGGGCTGATGCTCGCGGGGCATCCTGAAACACAGTGTAATACCACACATCAAATAACCTGGACATCTATGTCACCACATACCGAACGGTATTGTGTCCATGGCGGAAACGCTAACACAAACCATAGACAAATATGTTCACAGACTTTTGGAAACATTTCGTATACAAGCTAAGCCCTTAATTGTTCACAGATGTCGACCTGTACGTTACAAAGGGTTTACAAGAGAGTCCATTAAAAAAGCTGAGATTCCAAACGCTATGAATACAGCACGTGTGCACTGTGGCAAAAGGTACGGAAAAATTTTGTTAATTTTTTTTCCAGGATTTCCGGGGTTAGCCAGGATTAGCCCTCTTATCAATATTCCCCGCAGGCTCTTACAGTATTCTCCGTAGGGCCCAACAGTATTCTCTATAAGTCCGCACAGTCTTCTCCGTAGGACCTGGAAGACTGTATAGTCCTACGGAGATCACTGTAAGGTCCTACGGAGAATACTGTGTGGTCCTACAGAAAATACTGAAAGAGCCTACACTGTTAAGAGAAGTCGTTATTTTACAACAGTAATCCCAACAATTAGTGTTGTAATTTTACAAATAATAATTCGTAAATTAACTACAAGATTCATGACATGAACAATTGTAATATTTTCGACAAACTTTACTCACAAATTTAGGAATAAATTCGTAATGAAAGGGCCGGAATTAATGTCATTTTCGTGATTATCTTACTGAAAACTGCAGGAAACAATGTGAAAATCAATTTTAAATTTTTGGGCACAAAATTTGGGAAATTTTGGGGAAAGTAAAGGTCTCAGATGCAATTGGAAGTCATTTTTGTGATCAGCACACCAAAAAGAAACTATGTAAAAATCGATGTAAAAAATTTGGGCCGAAATTGGTAAATATTTGGAAAAGTAAAGGTCTCAGATGAAATTAGAAGTCATTTTCGTGATCAGCACACCAAAAACTGCAGGAAACTATGTAAAACTTGATGTAAAAATTTTGGTCCGAAATTGGTAAATATTTGGAAAAGTAAAGGTCTCAGATGAAATTGGAAGTCATTTTCGTGATCACCACACCAAAAACTGCAGGAAACTATGTAAAACTCGATGTAAAAATATTGGGCCAAAATTGGGAAATATTTGGAAAAATAAGGGGGTATGGGGCGATTTGTAACAGATTTCGGAATTCTCTATACAAAATTTAAAAACATTCTGCATATCGGTGTCAAACTTGTGCCAGTTGAGCAGTCGGGGCCCCTTTATCTAGACTGTGCAGCTCCATTGGATCAATCTGGAGTCCGTAATCTTTGAAATCTAAGACGTTTTCCAAACCCTTGCATGCTGTTACGAATCGCCCCAGCATGGGGTGATTTGTAACAGCCATGGGGCTTCTCATAACATCCTACACATTAATTGAAACATCGTCGGGAATGTTATATCCTCCACCAGTTGTTCTTCGGGTGTCCTGCAGACGTCTAAAAATCTACATTACAAGCTGCCGTTGACCGCCTCAGCATTAACTGATAGGCTATGTCAATCCTAACCTCACTTTTTTCAATTTTAGAGGAAAGAATAGAATAACTCGCTTTAAAATGCATTTCGAGCTGTGTAAATGTATTGGAGTAAAACAGCAGATGATTCGAGAAATAAGTCCAGCATTTAACAGCTAAAACTACTTAAATTCTTGTTTTTATACGGGTCTGTTACGAATCACCCCAAATGCCTGTTACGCAAGAAATCCGTCCCTAACTATCACTGGACAAAGTAAAAGCAACTTATGCCACGTGTTTACATTGTAAAGGGGTCACGCTTCAAGGCCCCAACGGTACTTCGATGGTGATTCATACCTGGGGAGCCTCAGACAGAAACTTCCTTGAACTCAAAATAAAAGATTTGCCTGTTTGCCGAAATTTCGGTGTACCCTATATTTCAGACGCCCTCCAAAACTATACCTGAGCACCGATCACATCCGCTTCGATTGTTCAAGGACCGTGTACTTGAGGCGAAAGAGGGGCCATACTCAGATTTTCCTCTGCTCCCTCCACTTAAATTAATGAACGCATTTGTTACGAATCGCCCGTTACAAATCGCCCCATACTCCCTTAAAGATCTCAGATGAAATTGGAAGTCATTTTTGGCCTTCTTAAAAGGGTGAAACTTTCTATTTTCTCTGACCTTTTTCTCAAGTTTTATTCGCAAGGTTCAATACTTTAAGGAGGTATAAATAGTAAGGGTTATTGAAAAGACGACTTTTTTGAAATGTATACCGGCCCACGCGGAAAATGGTTCCCCTACATGTTAAAACTATCCTAGGAACAAGGGGAGCCCGATCAAAAAATGCTTAGGGGTCGCCCTACCTTTTTTAAGGTTGAATTTCGGCGTAGTTTTTCAGAAGTCCTAGTTTTAACGCTCCATGGGCTCTAAAAGCCGTGCGGTGCGTCTTGGCCGCTGGGTATCGATTGGCACTTCTTCTACTCAAGTTCCGGAAGAAAATGAGACCTATTGGGGTTGATTTGGTCGCACGTACAAAGATCTACACCAGTTTTTTTGCTCTAGAAACGCGTTATTTGTGCATTTTTTTACATTTTGAGGGCTATTAAAGCTTCTGGTATGGTTCCAAAAAATTCGAAGTGAGTGGTTCTTGTAGAGAAAAGTATGGCCTTTCCAACGAGCCTAGGCGGAAGATTGTGCGATTTGTAGTTAAGGCGCTAGAGCAGCTCAAAGTGTGTTAATGATTTAAGTTTTTCAAGAAAACAGCGCTATCGCATGTGGAAGACGTAGGAAATGGTCAAAATACAGGAAAAAAATTAAAAATAAATTGTCTGCGGAGTATTAGTGTGAGTGAATGAATAAGACCGTCGAAGCCCACCGCACCATAGCGTCCCTCCAAACTTTCACTTCTGTGGTCGTTCTCGCGCGCGGAGTAGTGATACGGTAGGATACGTGAGGTGGAATCACTGTGGCAAAAAGGTACGGAAAATTCTGTTAATTTTTTTGCCAGGATTCTCCGTAGCCCTCTTACGGTATTCTCCGTTAGGCCGTACAGTATTCTCCGTACGACCGCACATTCTTCTCCGTAGGACCTGGAACACTGTATGGTCTTCGAAGATCACTGTGAGAGCCTACGGAGAATACTGACAAGAGGGCTACAGAGAATTACCACAAGCTGTTCACAGAATTTTCCGTAGCTTTTTGCCACAGTGATGGGGGAAGCCTGCCGGTGGTGGGGGCTGCTGGCGTTAAGTTCCGAAACACCCGGTACCTAGTGTAGTGCAACCGCTGCTGCCACCGGCCGGCAGAGCGACCGAACGCATCAGCTGTCAGTCTGTTCGGAACTCAAATTGGGATGGCGCGTCGCAAGACCGGGCGGACGCGTGCTGCACAGTTCGCGGACATGGGGGAGGATCTTTAAGGTGAGGTGTGGGTGAAAATTTGTACAAAAATTGATAAAAATGATAAATTTAATCCACTTGTTATTTTAGTGCATAATATTCTTATCGACAGCATGTCCTAAAGGTCTGTGTTATGAAACCCTAAGTAATTGGTTCATCTAACACGGACTGATGTATGCAGGCGCCTTTCTGGTCACCCACCTCTACGACAAGTGTCGAAGAAATTTTTTTCCACTACGTCAACTCCTCCCTGACCGCGAACTGCGCAGCACGCGTTCCCCGCGGTCTTGCGACGCGCCATCCCAATTTGACGTTCCGAACAGACTGACAGCTGATGCGTTCGGTCGCTCTGCCGGCCGGTGGCAGCAGCGGTTGCACTTCACGAGGTACCGGGTGTTTCGGAACTTAACGCCAGCACCCCCCACCCGGCAGGCTTCCCCATTCCACCTCACGTATCCTACCGTCACTACTCCGCGCGCAGAACGACCACAGAAGTGAAAGTTTGGAGGGACGCTATGGTGCGGTGGGCTTCGACGGTCTTATTCATTCACTCACACTAATACTCCGCAGACAATTTATTTTTTTTTTTTTTTCCTTATTTTGACCATTTCCTACGTCTTCCACATGCGATAGCGCTGTTTTCTTGAAAAACTTAAATCTTTAACACACTTTGAGCTGCTCTAGCGCCTAAACTACAAATCGCACAATCTCCGCCTAGGCTCGTTGGAAAGGCCATTTTCTCTACAGAACCACTCACTTCGAATTTTTTGGAACCATACCAGAAGCTTTAATAGCCCTCAAAATGTAAAAAAATGCACAAATAACGCGTTTCTAGAGCAAAAAAACTGGTGTAGATCTTTGTACGTGCGACCAAATCAACCCCAATAGGTCTCATTTTCTTCCGGAACTTGAGTAGAAGAAGTGCCAATCGATACCCAGCGGCCAAGACGCACCGCACGGCTTTTAGAGCCCATGGAGCGTTAAAACTAGGACTTCTGAAAAACTACGCCGAAATTCAACCTTAAAAAAGGTAGGGCGACCCCTAGGCATTTTTTGATCGGGCTCCCCTTGTTCCTAGGATAGTTTTAACATGTAGGGGAACCATTTTCCGCGTGGGCCGGTATACATTTCAAAAAAGTCGTCTTTTCAATAACCCTTAATGGCGGGCTCGCCTACACCGCCATTTTCACTGAGAATGAAAGAGTCATGATCATGACAAAAATTTTGGGCGAGGAATTCCTTATTACCCAAATTTGGGTCATAATACTATGGAACCATATAGGCAGCTGATACACCCTTCCTCACCCAAACAATATCCTCGCCCAAATTTGGGTGATAAAGTATACCTCGCCCAGAATTGGCTATTGATCACGTCTTTTCATTCTCAGTGCTCAGTGTTAACCAACTACACGCGTCACACTCTAAATTTGCCATGCCCCGAGACTAGGCGCCTATGTTATCTATTTTAAGGGTCCAAAAATCATCAAGCAACTTGGCTTCACCCATGGCTTGTCTAGAGTCATACAGGCCCTAAAGGGGAGAACCGCGTCTTGACTTCTGGCCGATTTCGGTGCTCATACTGACGACCAAAATGTCCGGCATGCGCTTCCGCTTCCGGCTCGAGGGGGTAACCACTCGCGTAATACCCTGTACACAAAAACCGTGTATTACGCGTAATACACGTGGTCGTAATACCTTTTTCGGGTCAAATGTGCCAAATTTTTGCATTTTAAGGCCGTAATACACGTGTAATACCTCCGTAATACAGCGTAATACCGAGTAGTCTGCACACGATTTCTTGAAGTGTTTACCCCCTTGTTCCGGCTTGCGTTTTTAAGATTCGTCTGGCAGAGCCTGAAAACGTCTGAACAGCTGGCATTTGACGTTCAAGAACTGTTCAGTTGACTATTTTAGAAATGAGGAGCTTTTCAGGCCTGTTCCAAGCGCTGTCAAGCCCCTTGACCTCAAGATGCCTCAAGCAAACGACACAACATCAAAACAAAGCGTCCGGTGACGACCAAAATGTCCGCCGTGCTTTTCCGCTTCCGGCGTCGGTTTCGAAAATTTCGCAACGAGCCTCGAAACGTCTGAACTGTGTACATGCGACATCGAAGGGATCTTCAATCAACTATTATAGAAAGCTGAGGAGGTTAATAGGACTTGTTCGAAGTACTACCAGTGCTCTAGGCTTCACAAGGCCCTCAGCAGACGACACAACATCAAAACAAACTATGAGGAATTGCGCATAGCACTTTTCTATAGTATGAGAAGCAAAATCAGAACATCTTCCAGGTTCGTGGATCTCCCCTTTAGGGCCTTTAGGACTCTAGGCTTGTCTTACCCAGCGCCAAAGGTGCTTAGATTCTGGGCACCTTGGTCACCGAGAAACTAGACACCTCTGCGCATGCTCTGTTGGCGGGCTTGTTGCATGTTAGGATCCGTACTAGGCGAGAAAGGTGCCCAGAGCTCAGCGGCATTTTTAGATCTGATTGGTCTAAATTTATTTTGAAGTTGGTTAGATTGTTGTCTTCAAAATTATGATGAAAAAAAGGGAAAGTCTATGGATAGGAACAAAACTAAAAACAAAAACAAAGTGTCAACGCAGCAAATTTACAATTTTTTAAAAACTTGATTGTTCTTTTTAGGCACGAAGTAGCCTTATAGCATGAGAGAAGGGCGCCCTGGAGTCCCAGCTTTTTCGGGCCGGGACGCCGCCTGGCCGAGGTTTGCACCACTTTGCGGCTAAACGGCTCATCGCACAACATTTCTGACTAGCTCAGAAGATTCAGGAAGGTTTTTTACGTGCCCCGGCGTCGTTACATTTTGATTTGGTCAACCGGGGACCGAACGCGGCGAGCCTGAAGGGCGGCAGTGTGGCGCGGCTGAGGGTCCGCAGAGGCTGGCTGCCTGATGGCTGGCCGCCGGCTTCTCCGTATTATTGCACGGCAGGGTAAGGGATGTTTCAGGCGTTTCAGTCAGCAATTGGGTAAAAATACATGTTTGAGTTTTCTTTTTCAGTGCCAGCAGATTTGACAGCGCGCTTCAACGGCATTTTAGAATTAATCTGAAGGCATACCATAGTCAATGACATTGAAGATAGAGGTTAGTAGTGTTGAAGAAGATACTTTTGTTTATCTGGCCAAAGGGCAGTATCTTTTTGGTATGCCTTCAGATTTATGCCAAAATGCCGTCGAAACGTGCTGTCAAATTTGCTGGGACTGACCAAGAAAACTCAAACGTGTATTTTTACCGAAATGCTGACTGAAACGCCTGAAACATCCCTTACCCTGCCGTGCAATAATAACTAACAACAACAACACCCACCCCCACGTGTAGATATCACGGCGAGGTGGCGGGGTGTAGTACTGGTCCAATCGCCCAGAGCGCGCTGCCTGTCCCACTCTTCAGGGGCAAGGTAGGCCACCCTGTCGTCACTAGTGCGTTGCAGGTCTGCTGGTTGTTGGCCTACCTGACAGGCGCTTGGGTCCCCTGACCATAGAAAAGCGACCCGGAAACTTGCTTTGAGCCGAAAACACCTTAGAGAGCGTCCAGTGTGGCATCGAGTGCGGCCGTCACTACAATTTAGTGAAATACGTGGTTGCAGGGGTTCACGAAAATGGCTCGTTCTCGGGAACGAAGCCGAACACATTTTTTGATTAACATTTTCGTTTAGGGAAGGGTTTAAGCTATCTTTTAAGCCCAGATTGGTATAAATCGGTTGAGGATCTACGCAATGGCGCTAATTTGAATACTTCACTAAAGTTTTAAAGTTATAAAAAGTTTTTGGACATAAAAACTTCAAAGACAAAAAAGATTCAGTTTTTCATCCTCTTTCCAAATCTGGTCTCGGACTTGACCTACGACCAATGGTTGCTGAGATATTGCCCTCCAAAGTTGCGTTGTTCCAATATTTAGCAAAAACGTAAATTGGCCATAGCCTAGCCCCTTGGGGGCCGGACCCCAAACCAAGTACCGATTATTTCATGAGACCATAGGGGTAACAAACCCTGAAAACGAGAACCGGATCGGAGCCCATGGTGGCTAAGGCCTGGTTGACTTCACATGGAATGTCCCACCTGCAGCAGCGCCTCCGGGGCTCGGATCGGATTTGCTGCTACCGGGCAGGGACGCCCAAGGAGGCTGCGTACCGAATTTGGTCAAGATCGGAGCACGGGAAGTTCTCGCACAGCATGCATGATACTATGTACCCGTCCCTCCGGCATTTATTTTTCAATAAATACACCGGACGGGCCAAAAAACCTAGGTGTTATAACTTACCTGGCAGGTTCCTCGGGCCAGTGCTTCTAACGCAGCCACCCCTGCCGTACTGCCGGCCTTCAGGTACAGGTAGACGCGGCCAACCGCTGGCACAAGTCGAACGATGGTGCGTATAAGCCCCGTGTTGACATTCGAATGCTTGCGTGGGAAAAACCCTTCATAATCATCACCAACATCATCATTTGTCCCCCACAGATCGCGGTGCTGCCACACAGCCTTCTCCAGTATGGCGTGGCTCCATCGTCGGCACACCAACCGGAGCGGCAACAGCTGAGCCGAGGGTACGTACGACAGGATCCACTGGAAAAGCTCGTCCGGTAGACCGTCCATGTCTCGGGCGATGAAGAACCAGCAACTGTAACAACGAATCAGACATGCGTAATGACACACCAATCCCCGCACGACAGGAACAGATCCCGATTTTCCTGGGAATTTACAGTGAAGACATGGGCGATTCCCGGGGAGAGTTCCCGGAAAAGCCAGGAACCGTTTCCACCGTGCGACGTCGTCCAATTTCAACCAAATTTGGAAAAACGTCACAAATTTTAGTATTTAAAATGACTCTACTATGATGAATGCAGCCTAGTGAACTCGCCAGTTTTAGTCATTAATCAAGTTACAGAATCAGTACATCTCCATCACCTCATTGATTTGTCTAGACCGTCTGTACTAGTCAACTACGGAACGTGTGTACTCGATTTCTGTAGACGATTACAGTAGTTTAGGTGGAGCAAGTACGGACGTTCCGTGTACCTCTCCGTGCCTGCGTCCTCTGTTCTTCTCTGCGTTTTACGAGGAAAAATATACTTTAGTAATTTTTTCCAGTGACGTCCAAAATGATCAAACATAAAAAAAATCACGTGCATTCAAGATTAGAATTAAAGGCGTCATCGAAAAAGCCTGTGAAAGATCATTAGCAAGGGAACGGTGCACTCTGAAAACCTTACAAACTATCTAAAGAATTATGAAGTTAAGTTGCTTGCCAAAACAAAGCACTTTGAGCATACGTAAGCTTACAAAAAAAACTTACTTCGTCACGAACTAATGTTTCGTGCTACAAATTAAGTAGTTTTAACCTCACGTTACGTAAGCACTCTCATTCCAGGATCACGTTGAGTTGAAATGAGTGTGGGAAAATGTCACTTATCTTTGAGCACTGTGTCACATTCGTTTGGGTGTAAATAAGCTTATTGATGGCTGATACACATTCAAACGAATGTGAATGTGTCACAATGCCCAAAGAAACGTGTCATTTTGACGAATTCATTTCAACGAGATGTCACCTTCCTGGAATGAAGGAGAGTTCAGAATACTTTCGTAAGGCTTCGAGCGTATGATGTAAGATCTCTTCAGCATGACCTCCCACATGTCTACTCACACTCACTCACCAACTGCGGAGACAAGACGGTGGAGCACGGCTCGGCGTAGCTGAGTGCTGGCGAGTGGATCCAGGTGTACGCAGGAAACCGTTCCGCTGAGACAACAGAGCCAAATCAAACGCAAGTAGGTGGGGCACGGGCACGGCTTAGCGTAACTGGGTAGGGACGAGTGGACCTAGGTGAACGTATGGAACCGTTCCGATCAAACCAGAGAGCCAAATCAATAGGGTACTTTCGTAGATCCTGAACCGGAAGCAAACAGACGCCATGTTGGCGGAAGTAGATCAAAACTTGACATGGAAAAGAGACGATAGTCAAATGTATTGGCCACACTGAACATGATGGTCGTTTGATACTTATTTCCAGTGCATTTGTGTTCCTCGGGCAATATTTGTAGAGACTGGTCCGATTTGGAGATCCCAAAGAGAGGTTAGGTTCCGGCCAATATGGCGTCTGCTTGCTTCCGGTTAAGGATCGACGAAAGTACCCTATCGCAAGTATACGATAACAGAGCCGGGCGGGATCGGCGTGGGCTCTAGCGGGCTTCACGCTTAAATCGCCAAACCCAGTAAAAGCCCGGCACACGTAGAGTCCACTCGCTTACGTAGGAGTCCAACCCACGAAAAGCCCCCACTCCAAACGACAAAGCCCACTCGAGCCCATGCACGTTCCGTAGTGGACTTTTCAAACCCACTAGCCTGAATTGGGCTGCTGCCGTCTGCCCGCCCCGCTCCTCCCCTCGCTGAGCCTGTCATAAAACGTCCCGACAGGTGCTACACTGCAAAAAATTCTGTGGTTTGGCACGGAAAATGTACGGAAAAATGGGGTACAGACGGGTACGGACCTTCTGTACTGGTTCTCTGTGGTCCCTATAAGGATTTCATGTAAGCGGGTACAGAAAACATGTACAGAACCTCCGTGGTTGGCAAGGTACGGACACTCCAAATCCAGTGGCAAGTTTCCTCGCCACTGGAGTGGCGTCTTTTCCAAAGCGCCAAGATTTGGCGTTCCCATCCCTGATTTCCGGATTCCACGCCAAATTTTGGCGCTCCACAGAGAGCGCCAAATTTTGGCGCTCCACAGAGAGCGCCAAAATTTGGCGTTCCATTCCCCAGAGCACCACAGACCAGAACGCCAAAATTTGGCGCTGCAAAAGAAATGGAATAATTTGGCTTAGAAAGCAATACCCGTTCACAGAAAAATAAATGTGCATATGTTACAGTTAATGTCCGGTCCCCGGTCAAAACGCGTTTTAACTAGTTAAAACGCGGATTAACTGGCCGGGCCGGGTAAAACTGATATTAAGAATAATTTGATGTAAAATTCGGCTTTTACCTAGGTAGAACGGGTAATGACTAGGCAAAACGGGAATAAACTGGGCAAAACGGGAATTAACTGGTCAAAACGGGAATTAACTGGTCTAAAATTCACTGGGTAAAAGGTGTGGGCAGGTAAATACCAGTCATTTGTTGGAGCACGAGGTACTGCCGTGACACTTCGAGTTGCAGAGTACTCCTAAAAGGCGGCATTTGCATTTGCTGGAAGCTTTGCACCCTTTTCGGCAGTTGCACCGGACATAGCCCTGGCCACCTGTCATGCTCTGTGCAGTGGCCATGGACCGCAGTGCTATGCGTTTGTCTAGTGGGACGTCGGGCCTGCCTCACCTCCAAGCTCTCTTCCCTCTCGAGTTTACCAATCAGGTGTAACGGGAAAGAGGTTCCCAGGCCCAGGTTTCATGGGAACGCCGAACAGCGCCTCATAGGGAGAACGGCCGATGCCCTGATGGTGGCGCCTGTTTTTCATGTTTGCCACGAACTTCAGACCCTCAGACCAGCTGGTTGTATTGTGGTCCCTCATCCAGGTTATCAGTATGTCTTGCACGTCCCGATTCGCCCTCTCAACACTCCCCTGGCTTTGCGAATGTCTCGGGGTGCCTGGAGTTGTAACATGATTAATTGTAAAGTTATTACTAAGAGGGAATACCTTGTCTTGACAGAACGCTCACCATGCACGATTTTCAATTCAGGCCACATTTCTTGCAATGAGTTGATGATAGCATTGGCAAATTCTCGGCCATTGTCCGACTGGAGGATAGAAGGAGCACCGAATTCAAGGAAAATGGGGACCAGTTCAACAGCGACGTGCTCGGCTTTTTTTCGGCGTATTGGGCGCAAGTGCACAAATTTTGTGAGGTGGTCTTGCAGCACCATTATGAACCTGAAGTCCCCATCTGCACTTGTTTGCATATCAATCAGGTCCACTTGCGCTCGGGCATTCATCTCCTTATGAATAATCGGCCTCACCGTTACCCCTTTCTTCTGTGTACCGTGAAATGGGGTAATTTCGGACACTCGGTGTAATTTCGGACAACTCTGCCCGGAAGCATTGCGTTGATGCTCCCATCTAACGGCCAACTTGGAGGCTTGTCCCGTTGCGCGCATCGCATCGGCCACACTTAAAACCATCTGATCAATCACCCGGAGGTCAAATCTGGGGCAAACTTCAGGAGAAAGAGTGGTTTTTGTATTTAACCATTTTTACCTAAATTCGCTGTATGCGTAAAAACTTTGACTGGCAAGCCGAAACTGTTCATGGGCGGTTCATGAGGGGATTGTTTGTCGATTCAATCATGTTAAGAGCATACTGTGTCAAATTTTCAATCACCTGGGTCAAATAGTATGGTTTATATAGGCTCAAAACTGAAAAAATGTTACTTTACGGGGTAATTTCGGACATACAAACGTCACGTCAGGGAGAGTTGGTATGCCCTGAACACTTCCAATTTCGCAGGGTTTGAATGGTGGAAGCTGAAGAGCTCTTCTAAAAGTTGAAGATAATCCAATAACAACGATATTCCCCAATAGTTACAGCGGTTGCTTTGTAAACTTCGAATTTCATAAAAATGGGGCAAAGCTACATCTTTAATATTTAGTTTTATGTGTATATCCTACGTTAGTGTCAACGACTGTTTTGTGATTGATTTTCTTTCATGTGACATGAGAGTTGGACTTGGCGAATGGCTGCATAGCTCGCCGGTTTACTATGCAACGCTTTCCACTGAGCCCCTGTATCTTCCTAATCGTACATACGACACGACTACATGCCCTTCATATGCATGTATGTGATCGTATGTAATCTTGTAGAGGAAGATTAAAGATTCACTTTCGCGTAATAAAGTATGTCCCGAGTTGCCTAAGAAAGCTAATCGGTCAAAGATTAAACAATAGAAGCGTTCTAAATGGCTCTTCTAGTTCCACCCACTATTCCTGAAATCGAACTACATAGGGTAAACTATACAGTTACCGTCAGTTTAAGAGCATCGCCTTCTTTTCAAGGGCCTCTAGGGTAGGTTTTGACACTTAGACCCGTGCGACTTGTTCCAGACACCTCAGAAGGATCTAGACAACGAAGTGGCTGACAAAGATTTCACTAAAAACTTTTTGTGGCGCTCTTATTTAACCTGAGAAAAAGGTTACCAAAAAAACACAGTAATCGGCAGCCAAAATACAGTTATCGGCACCCTTTATGACAGTTATCGGCACCCCTTGTTAAAAAGGCAAAACATGACCGAAAGTGACGAAAATTTCTAACAGTCGTCACAGACACTCTATATCACCCCTTGACATGTCATGAACCCCCTCTCTCTTCTGTTATGCCTCTTGCGCCCTTCATTTTAGACTCGCGGACAACTAGCACCATGAGCTGCGAAAAAACAACCTCTCAAAGCGCCGAGGAGGATATTTCGTAAATCACGTAGATCACTGGGAAATAGTGGTCCGATTTCATTCAAATTTGGCAGGGGTCTTCCTACGGTCATAATGCATCAGAATATTAACTCCCGGATGACGCCCGAAACACCAGTGCAGTTTGAGGCCACCCTGACGATAACTGTGTTTGAGGTGATTTCTCTGGTGCAGTTATCGGCACCCCCCGAATGAGGGCAAGCAAGAGGAATTTCTATGCACCAAGCACAGTATGCCTTCTTCAATAGATGGGGAGAAGGAACCTGGCAAAGAGAATAGTTTTTTCCGGCCCACATTCACGAACTTAACGAAAGATTGAACCCCTGTTCCTAGCATGGAAGATAAGAACGGGCGGCCGAAGCAGCCTCATTCTGCACTTGACAAGAAACGTGGCTCTGTTGGCTGACATGCTCAATCAAACGCGATGCTGTCTCGGTCCTGCATGCTCAAAAGGTGTCTCTAGCGACCTGCATTGGCCGCATCACTAACGGACGCGTACTTGCAGAGCAGGACCCAATCATTCGCCGAGATGACGATAACTGTACCCCTGCCGATAACTGTATAGTTTACCCTATGAGTGCAAAAAACATGCCTTCAAATTATGTATGAGTGACCACCCCTACCTTACCTTTACATCTAAACCCTTACGAATTTCTCATATAATCATATAAGCACTTTAGAAAGAGACAGTGATCGATTTTGGGACCAAAATCAGAACGAAAAGTCGTTTTTTCCAGGGGTGTCCGAAATTACCCCAAAACACGGGGTAATTTCGGACACTGCTTCGGACCCTCCACTGTAAAAACGGTGAGGTGCGGATATTTGAAATAAGCGCCAAATCGAAGCTAAAGGTGCGTAGATGATAAATTTTAACCCTCAAGTCCATGACAGCACCACGACTTTCACAATTTCAAAAAAACCTATCAAAAGTGTCCGAAGTTACCCCGTTTCACGGTACTCTCCTTCAGAAGGCACTGCTCGCAATTCTCCTTGAAGCAGAGCAGCATCTTCTGTGACAGATTCACGTACTTGCCTTCCTTCGAGTCGTACTTCATTTTGTCACGACCACCGTGCCCCGTGGCCTCGTGAATTTCACGGCACGCTTCATACAGGTCCTCGGTGTGTACGTAAAACCGAGGCTGGCTCGCCCCCTTAAGTGGCACAATCAGTTTCTCCTCTCCGTCAATTTCAATCACCGCGTACTTTGCTAGGCGCCGGTAGTCCTTTGTGGTCTTCTTTGTCTTTTTAATTTTGGCCTCCTTAACTTCTTGGATTAACTTGTCGTATGCTTGAGGGGTGAGGAATTTTGAATTTTTACCTTTTGTGGCCGAGATCTGCCAGTTCAAATTTTTCTTTGCTGCTTGCCATTTTTAGAATTTTTCCAGAATTATGAGGTCGGTTTATTACTTGAAATTTTGAGTCGAAAACAGCCGCGGACCTGTTACCCCAGTTACACCACCCTTCCCGCGACAATGGTACCGTGACACTCTACTGCCCGACCCGGAAAAGAAACGGTCGGTTTATTCCCGTTTTACCCAGTTAACAGCCGAATAATAATAATAAAATAAAATAAATAATTTCTATATCAGTTTTACCCGGCCCGGCCAGTTAATCCGCGTTTTAGCTAGTTAAAACGCGTTTTGACCGGGGACCGGACATTAACTGTAACACATACAATAGTTTTCAGTGCTTAGGATCCCTAGTTCAAATCACAGCAATTATACTATGAAAAGTAGAACTGGACCAGTAAAATACAAGACCTGCATCTGTATTTTCAGGTTACGTGTCAATGCCGCTGACCAACTATTGAATCACTTTGGTTTGGCCAGCGATTCCTGAGACACTGGGAAAATGGTACTCACATCAACACAAAACGCTGGATATCACTGAGTCACTCTCTCTTGATAAGGGGTTGACACAGCAAGGGGTCTCAGTCCATTCTCAAACCAGGAAGACTTGAGCTAGCATGTTATTCGCACTCAATATGTTATTTGCACTCGACGGTGCGAATAACATGTTATTTGCACTCAAAATGTTATTCGCACTCCAATGTTATTCGCACTCAACAGGTTGGTGCGCATAAGCATAAGCAATCAACAAAAGCTTAACAATAAAAACAGTAAACATGGCTACTCCTCTTAGACAAACGAAACATTCAAATTGTTACTTTTGTGTGCATTTCGTTCGCTACGGTCAACGATAGTCTATGTCTGTCATGTTTTATCGTGTCGCAGTACTTTCAAAAGGCCTGAGTGCTCTCGGGCCATTTCAAAACTATTCAAGTGTTGTGCTGTGGAAGATTTAGGGAGCGGCGTGGCGCGGCAGGGCCAGGCTAGGGCTCTGAGGCTAGCTCAAGTCTTCCTGGTTTGAGAATGGACTGAGACCCCTTGCTGTGTCAACCCCTTATCAAGACACTCTCAGCCGTTTACTGACTATTTCTCATCAGCAGACGTATTTCTGTAAGCAACCATAATACTTAGTATTAAGTTCTTAAATACTTAAAAATTTCTTTGTAATTTACTAAGAAAACGGTAATATCAGTACAGTAATTAGCAATTGCTAAGTAATACTGACAAAAAATACTAAGTATTATGGTTGCTTACAGAAATGCGTAAGCTAA